ACAATACATACTCATATTTTACATCTACTATATACAGTAAAAGCATGTAAAATATACAATATTTTACATGCTACACTGTGCAAAATGAGTGACCTTAAATATTTGGAATATTTGTATCAGTAAAGACTCTTAATACTCACACTGGACGTCCAGAAGCGCTGATGTCCTCTGAGTGCCGTGTTTGTTCTCAGCTCTACAGTAGTATCGTCCGCTGTGTGTCGGCTCGGTGTTGTTGATGGTCAGGTTTGGTCCGGTCTGAACTGGATTCAGAGGTCTTTCAGCGTCTCTGTACCAGGTGTAGTTCACCGCTGGGTTTGCATCACTGCTGCAGATCAGAGTCACTGGATTGCCCTCCATCACTGAGCTGGAGGGAAACGCTGACAATGATGTGTTTTTTGGGGCATCTGGGGGAGAAAAAAAAAAGATGTAATGTAGAATGTGTGATTTAACCGTTCAAGATATGAAAGGCTGCAGGTTTAAACCTCTCTATTTTACAAGTTTCAGATGCAGGCAACTTGATAAAGCATTTGTTCAAACATCTACAGCAGGCCACAACACTAACAAAACACCACATGTCTGTATTTTTCCCTGTTACTTGTTCACTTCACACTAACTGTGTGTAGAAGTTTAAGTCTACTGTGCTAAAACAACACAAACACAGTAAGATATATGATGAGAATTTGTAGTATATGTTATTGTCTAAGTTTGTCATGCAATCGGACAGAGACTGTCTTTCATTTGTCTAGACCAGGGGTAGGCAAGTTCGGTCCTAGAGAGCCGCAGTCCTGCAGACGAACTTGCCTACCCCTGGTCTAGACTAAACAGACTGAATTGTGACGTGCTGGACCATCTGAACGGAATGTCCTGCAGATTACCGAGTACTTGCACTAGACACCCAGAAGATTACTAAGTACTTGCACTGGACATCTAGAAGATTACCAAGCATTCACACTAGACGTCCAGAAGATTACCCAGTACTCACACTGGACGCCCAGAAGATTACCAAGTACTCACTCTGGATGCCCAGCAAATTACCAAGTATTTGCACTAGATGCCCAGAAGATTACAAGTACTCTCACTGGATGTTGCAGTATTTAGCATTATGACTATTTTTCAGATTTGTCAAATAATAGTAAAGACACCAACTGTAAAATAACACTAATGGAGGCGTGGAAAATATATATTACCAATTAGTTAAGACACGTAATACTCACACTGGACGTCCAGCAGCACTGATGAGTTCTGTGTGCCGTGTTTGTTCTCAGCTGATTTACCAAGATTACCAAGTACTTGCACTGGACATCTTATAGATTGCCAAGTACTTGCACTAGATGCCCAGAAGATAACAAGTACTCATGCCAGACACTCAGCAGCTGACCAAGTATTCTCACTAGACATCCAGCAGATTACCAAGTACTAGCATTGGATGTTTAGTAGATTACTTGCACTGGACGTCCACAAGAGTACCAAGTACTCATATTGAACATCTAGAAGATTACCAAGTACTTTCACAAGATTACCATGTACTGGTACTGGACCAGTACATCTAGAAGATTACCAAGTATGCGCACTTGTATGCCCAGAAGATTACCAAGTACTTCCACTGGACGCCCAGAATATTACCAAGTACTCATGTTGGATGCCCAGCAAATTACCAAGTATTTGCACTAGATGCCCAGAAGTTTACAAGTACTCTCACTGGATGTTGCAGTATTTAGCATTATGACTATTTTTCAGATTTGTCAAATAATAGTAAAGACACCAACTGTAAAATAACACTAATGGAGGTGTGGAAAATATATATTACCAATTAGTTAAGACACGTAATACTCACACTGGACGTCCAGCAGCACTGATGAGTTCTGTGTGCCGTGTTTGTTCTCAGCTGATTTACCAAGATTACCAAGTACTTGCACTGGACATCTTATAGATTGCCAAGTACTTGCACTAGATGCCCAGAAGATAACAAGTACTCATGCCAGACACTCAGCAGATGACCAAGTATTCTCACTAGACATCCAGCAGATTACCAAGTACTAGCATTGGATGTTTAGTAGATTACTTGCACTGGACGTCCACAAGAGTACCAAGTACTCATATTGAACATCTAGAAGATTACCAAGTACTTTCACAAGATTACCATGTACTGGTACTGGACCAGTACATCTAGAAGATTACCAAGTATGCGGATGAGAATTTGTAGTATATGTTATTGTCTAAGTTTGTCATTCAATCGGACAGAGACTGTCTTTCATTTGTCTAGACTAAACAGTCTGAATTGTGACGTGCTGGACCATCTGAACTGAATGTCCTGCAGATTACTGAGTACTTGCACTGGACATCCAGACGATTACCAAGTACTTGCACTGGACATCTAGAAGATTACCAAGTATGCACACTTGTATGCCCAGAAGATTACCAAGTACTTGCACTGGACATCAAGTAGATTACCAAGCATTCACACTAGAAGTCCAGAAGATTACCCAAGTACTCACACTGGACACCCAGAAGTTACGCAAGTACTCAAGCTGGATGGCCAGCAAATTACCAAGTACTTGCACTGGACATCTGGTAGATTGCCAAGAACTTGCACTAGATGCCCAGAAGATTACAAGTACTCATGCCAGACACTCAGCAGATTACCAAGTACTCACACTGGACACCCAGCAAATTACCAAGTATTCTCACTAGACGTCCAGCAGATTACCAAATACTAGCACTGGACATCTAGAAGATTACCAAGTATTCGCACTTGTATGCTCAGAAGATTTCCTGGACGTTCAGCAGATTACTTGCACTGGACGTCCACAAGAGTAACAAGTACTCACACTGGACATCTCGAAGATTACCAAGTGCTTCCACTGGATGTTCACAAGATTACTAAGTACTCACAGTGGATGCTCAGCAGATTTACAAGTACTCTCACTAGATGTCACAGTATTTAGTATTATGACTATTTTTCAGATTTTTAAATAATAGTAAAGACATCAACTATAAAATAACACTAATGGAGGTGTGGAAAATATGTATTAGCAATTAGTTAAGACACGTAATACTCACACTGGACGTCCAGCAGCACTGATGAGTTCTGTGTGCCATGTTTGTTCTCAGCTGTACAGTAGTATCGTCCGCTGTGTGTCGGGTCGGTGTTCTTGATGGTCAGGTTTGATCCAGTCTGAACTGGATTCAGAGGTCTTTCAGTGTCTCTGTACCAGGTGTAGTTCACCGCTGGGTTTGCATCACTGCTGCAGATCAGAGTCACTGGATTGCCCTCCATCACTGAGCTGGAGGGAAACGCTGACAATGATGTGTTTTTTGGGGCATCTGGGGGAGAAAAAAAAAAGATGTAATGTAGAATGTGTGATTTAACCGTTCAAGATATGAAAGGCTGCAGGTTTAAACCTCTCTATTTTACAAGTTTCAGATGCAGGCAACTTGATAAAGCATTTGTTCAAACCAGCTGGATTTATCCTCACTGATGTGTTTTTAGGAGCATCTAATGGAGGAGAAAATCATTCAGGTGATTACTTTATGATTTACAGCACTAATTAATTATAGATGATGATTCAGCACAGATTGATATAATTCCTGTCTTACACTGAACGCGTAGCATACGGGAGCGCAGTGTTGTGCTCGGCTGCTGTAGCTGGTGTGTTGCAGTGCAGTTGAAAGTGACTCTGTGATGACGGTGAGAAACAGTGAAGTTCAGATCAGAGATGAGCTCAGTTTGGCTCTGATACTGCTGTCCTGTGACGCTCTCGATGAGAGATGAGCTCCATGTGAGAGATGGTGGACGAGACGGACAGAAGATCTTAGTAGAGCAGCGCAGACTCACTGAACTTCCCTCAGTCGTCTCCTGCTGATCCGGAAAGATGCTCAGTGTGGGTTTGGGTGGAGATCCTGAAACACACATAGAGATATTACAAGATAATAGAGTTGGGGTACTCGTACTCGGACTCGAGTACAGTTTTTTTTAAAGGACTCAGACTTGTCACAGACTCGGATGTATTTTTACTCATTTTATCACGAAAGTGATATTCAGTATTTGCATGTGTTTTTAAGTCTTGTCCAGTACTTGAAAGCCGACGGGTTTCTGTGCTCAGCCTCACACACGGAAAGCGCGCTCACAGAACGCGCCTCTCAGTCAGAGTGCGAATGCTGAGTTTTCTTTCGACTAACGCGCCTCTCAGTCAGCATGCGAATGCCGAGTTCTTTCGCTTAAGTTCTGTTATTGCTACACACGTACACGAAAACCTATGTCAAAATGCCCATCTTGGAGACTATTCATGTAAATGCAGTCGGTTTTGTCTTAAGTGAACTTGAACAGTTGGGAGAAATACAGATGTGTCAAAATATTTGATCTATGCATCAGATCTTAAAGCAACAGCGTAAACCTGCAGCCGCCGACTGCGTCATAAATGTTAATCAAACAAAAGAAAAGGAGAAAATCACTCACTGCTCTTGACTGAATCACTTATTAACTTGAATAAGAATCATCTATGTTTAATGTATACAGTGAATATTATTTTTACATTTTACATTTATTACTTCATGAAATGTCTGTAGTAGGCTATTTCTAGAAGCTACTAGGCTTTACTAGGCTACTATCTGAAAAACAAAAAAAACTATTTCATTTGTATTTTTGAGTAATATATTTATAATTTAGCTTGTAAGTAATACTTGGAGTGTTTACTTGCCTTCAGTAAGCTTGAGAATGTTTTATTACATTAGTTTATTATTTTTTGCTTTTGTATTAGTGGCCGTTTCTAGCTTCAAAGAAAAATAATTTTTCTAACATATTTGCGGCAATAGTTTTTATGGGTCCAAAATTACATTGGGTGTGTATTATTTTCTAATAATTCAACGGCCCGTCATTAATTATTCCTTACATAATGTAATTTATTGTAATTAATGTAACTATAAATGCATTCAAAAATACAACAGGTGTGAGTTGTCACATTCGCTACTGTGAGGGAGCGAGGAACGAGGAGTACATCTACAAGGAGATTTTAATTATATCCAGGGAACCAGGAAAACACACGTAGCAGGAGAGGTTGACATATACAATACCGGACGCCGAACTAAGAACAGGGAACACTTTATATACACATGACATGACGAGGGGATGACGAGACACACCTGGGATCAATAGAACTAAATGGGGAACACCTGGAACAAATAAGGACAGGAATGGGAAGGACCAAATATGGGCATAGAAACACATGGGGAACAAAACTCACACAAAACACGAAACAGAATCTGACATTACTCCCCGATGGGCGCCCTGGAGGCTGGTGCAAGACTGGGACCCGGGGAATACCTCCAGGGCGGATCAGGCAGTCGAGGGTGCCATGGTGGCACAGGGAGCTCAGGGGCCATGACGGTGCAGGGAGCTCTGGGAGCCATGGCAGAGCAGGCAGAATAGGAAGCCATGGTGGAGCAGGCAGTTCAGGATGCCATGGCGGAGCAGGGAGCTCGGGGAGCCTGGCTTCGGCACTCGGCCCAGCCTCTACGGATGGACCCCTACTACCCCCCCAAAAAAATCCTTGGGGAGAATGTCGGTTTCAGAGGTCCTCCGTAGGCTTAACTCGGGAACTGTGGCCCTCCCTGGGCTTGACTTGGGGACTAGAGCCCTCCTTGGGCTGGACGTGGAACTGGAGCCCTCCTTGGGCTGGATATGGGGACTGGAGCCCTTTCTGTGCTAGACTCAGGGACTGGAATCCTCTCTGGGCTAAAATCAGGGACTGGAGCCCTCTCTGAGCTAAACTCGGGGACTGGAGCCCCCTCTGTGGTCGGTTTTTGGGGCTGGAGCCCACACTGGAGCGAGCTCTGGGGCTGGAGCCGACACTGGAGCGAGCTCTGGGGCTGGAGCAGACACTGGAGCAAGCTCTGGGGGGCGCTCTCAGGCGAGGAAGAGGGCCATGAGCCATCCTTTTCTCCTCATCCACCTCTTTTGGTTAGGGGTGAATAGGGTGGCCAGCGGGTTTGACGTTGCGGCAGCAGGCGGGCTTGCGTGAGCTGCGGCCGGCGGGCTTGACTTTGTAGCGGCCGGCAAACTTGACTGAGCGGCAACTTCCATGATCGCGGGGGAAAAAAACGGAAAACCAAAACACTTTCAAAAACGGAAAACAAACACGGGGAGAGGGGGTGCCGCTTACTGTCTTTGGTCCGGTATTCTGTCACATTCGCTACTGTGAGGGAGCGCGGAGTGAGGAACAAGGAGACGAGGAGTACATCAACAAGGAGACTTTAATTATATCCAGGGAACCAGGAAAACACATGTAGCAGGAGAGGTTGACATATACAATATCGGACGCCGAACTAAGAACAGGGAACACTTTATATACACATGACATGACGAGGGGATGACGAGACACACCTGGGATCAATAGAACTAAACGGGGAACACCTGGAACAAATGATAAGGACAGAAACGGGAAGGACCAAATACGGGCATAGAAACACATGGGGAACAAAACACACACAAAACACAGAACAGAGTCTGGCATGAGTTGCCTGTGACTTATGGAAAGTATATGTAGGGCTTTATACACAGTGTGTGCCATTGTACAGACTAGGTTTATCCCTCACAGCCTCATTTTCATCCAAGAAAAAATTCAAAATGCCCTGTCTAAGGTGTCCGTGAACTTTGGCGTCCATTCTTTTTTCGGGTTTTTTTTTTTTTTACCCAGAAATTAAAATGAAGTTTCTTCTTTAATGGTTCAAACACTGATGAATAGAAAAAGCAGACACAAAATAATTTTGATTATTCAAAATTCATATTTCATTAAAAATCGTACAAATTATATAAAGCTTTTTTATTGAGATAAAAGGTTCATTTTCTGCTCTTAAGGTCCCATTCACCCCATAGATACCTACTCCTTTACCCTCACTCTTGAATTTATACATTTACTTTAACGATGAATAAAGTCAAGTCCCACCCTTTAATTTTTCACATTCTAAAACCTGTTTCACTCTGAAATATGTGACAATACATAAATCAGTTCAGCCATAACTTCTGTTACATGACTTTTAAGTTTGCTAAGCAAAGCAGGACACTAATTATTAATCAAAAATCAAAATGGCAAGATGCAATAGAGGTTTGCTTTTGTTACATTTAAATGGACATTTGTGTTTTTCTAGTTTCTAGTAAAGGTTAAAACCTTAAAAATGTTAAGATACTAATAGAGTTTCGTTGGACTCGGGTCCGAGTCCAAAAACCCATTTTGGACTCGGACTTGTCTCGGACTCGACTTAGGTGGACTCGAACCCAACACTACAAGATAGTGTCGATGATCATATCCAGTAATGAAGGTGTACAGTAGAAGATTTCTTTTTTTAAATGTGAGTCGAGTCACATTGTAGACGCAGCATGAACAATATGACACTCACCTAAGACGGTAATTTGAACTTGGGAGTATGTAGGTTCTTTGTAGTTATATTTCAATACACCATTGGCTTCAAGTCTGAAGTAATATGAGCCATCATGACTCTGATCAACATTATCGAAGCGTGTGGTGCAGTTTTTCTCTGTAGCGGTGCCAAATATTTCTCCTTTTAACAGTCCATTGTTGGGCCTGCTGGAGTCAAACACAGCTGTACTTCTTCCGTCTTTAAACCACATTCTCTTTGCACTGTCAGTGAGGTAATTTTCAAGTTGTTGATTAATATCAAATGTGCAGGGGATGAAAACACAGGATCCATTCAGAGCTTCTACTTTCTTCGGCAGACTGATATTAAAGCCACAAAAAACACCTAAAACAAAGACAAACAGACAAAAGGAAGAAATCATACAAAGTTAATATGCAGAACAAACTTCTGCAGCACTTATTGCTCTTCGATCTCATGAAGGTCACATGAAAGTGCTTTCATAATAATAATTCAGCTCGTTAAATAGAGGAATAATCTAGGAATGAGACCTTGTATCAGAGATCCAGTGAGGAGGAATGCCACCAATGTTTCCATCATTTTCATACAGGCCACCTTACAGCAGAATAGACAAAAACAGATATTATATATATATATATATATATATATATATATATATACATATATATTCCTGTATGAATTTATAGCTCTTATGCTGTTAATTTAGACATGCTTATGAATCAAAACTACAGGAGTAAGTGTAAGTTTGACTGTGTTGTGTGTAAATGACTTACCAGAGAATAGAGTTAAAGACGACAGAAATCCTCTCAGAGCTCAAGCTGATGCTTCTACACTGAACGGAGGGAGAAGTGTGTGTGAAAACGACACAATTTAGCTCATATTAGAGATTCACCACTTCTCCTTTAGTCAGAACTCAGTAGCAGTAGCCAGGCTGAGAAATCTATACTAATCAGTATGAAGCTTATTCAATGTTCAACACATTTCTGTGTATATTTTGGCAATTTGAAAACATTAATTGTGCTGTGAGATCTGGGGTTTATGCTGATTTAATATTCAATATTCAGTGTTGAATCACAAGACACTAAGATGTACAGGAGATGAGGAAACATTTACATTTGATTTCTTCTAAACTTTTTTGAGATATCATAGCCTATATCAAGATAATGTATTACGGGCCAGTAATACTTAGCATGCTTCATATTGTTTTACAGTCATAAACTTTATTTCAAATAAGGAACATGGAAAATTGAAGATTAACCCAAGATACTGACCGAGGCCGAAAGCAGAAGAGATTTGTTCAAAATACTTTAGAGTCAGCAGAACAAGCTGCTCACTGGTGAACTTGTACTTAACCATATACTTACATCGTAACTGTATTACTGTAGAATTAAGTATAGATTTAATAGTGATGAGCTCTATAGAGATCTTCGAGTTTTCCAAACTTGTCAAAACAAAAACGTATTATTAGTACTATTAATATTTGATTATTCAAATTGATTATTAATCATCATAAAACTTTAAATTGTTGCTATATGGTTGAACATAGTTAAGACATCAAAACCCGTGCAGCTCAGAGGATATCAGCTTGCCTCTTTTTGTTTGTTTATGGGATGGAATATGTGCTGTTATCCCTCATTCAAATTCTCATTTGCAATATCTGTACTGAAACTGTCTGCATATGTTGTCAATTCTTTTGCAGTAAACACAATTACAAAAAGGCAATACAAAACCATAATTAATGTCCTAAAGAACAGAGTGCTATAAAGAAAAAAAAAACAATATACAATGTAAAACTTATCAGGGTCTTCTAATATTTTAAACGTTTTCAATTGACAAAATAATCTTCTTCAACTCTGAAATTCTCACAGATTTATAATATAACCAAAATTATTTTCGAAAAATAGAAAACAATTGCTTTTTATGGATATAAATTTCCCCAAAATAAAAATATTTTTCAGCAAAAATTGAATGTGTACATCTTCCATTATTATACCGAAGGTTATATCCTCTTTAGAGGAAAGGCTCTGGTGAGCAATATTGAATCTATGTGTAAGAAGTTCAGAGGATGGGTAAATATTACAAGTTTTAAAGTGTATTTGCTTGGCTTTAGGAAGTATACATGGCTCTTAAATTATTAATGTTGCTCTTGGGAAAAAGTTGAGTCACTTGGAAATGTGTCTTTTGTCAATAAAGTTCAAATTAATTTTATTTGCTGAATTACTCCTAATAAAGTATTGATCGTTTCTTTTTAAAGATGGTAAGTGAAGAGCTTCAGTTGCATTGGGCATTGTAGATTTAACCAACATAAAAGCCAAACATAAAATTCAGTTGCTTGTGAACACATTGAAAATTATACTTTTCACAGAAAGTCTTGTGATTCATAAAATTACCTTCCTCATCTAAAACATGGACACCAGATACCTCTCTCCCACCATTCTCATATAAAGAGTGACTTTTTCTTAAATGAAATACCAGTTGTTCCAAATGGGCGAGAGGGGTCATTTGAGTAATAGTACAGTAATAATATTACTTTTTGCAGTAACTAGTAATGTAATTTCCAATAAGATTTCAGTAATAATATTACAGTTACCATCCATAAAACATCTCGTTACTTAGTTACTTTTGATGCTTCAACCCCTATTGATTTGAAATCCAACAATCCAATAATTCCTAGATTTATTTTCACGACTCGCACAGGCACATGAAGTCACCAGTGCATCAGGAAAGCTTGCAATAAGGAAAAGCTTACATTCAGGGGATGGAAATATTGGCATTACACTGATTTTGTCAGGAGAAAAGCTGATCTGAACACAGATGTGTGAGTCGTGGCATTACTTTACTCTTGCCCACCCACATCCATCTGATCCCGATATACATTATATTACTATAATTACAAATCTTATTAACTTATGTGATTTCTTTTGATAAAATACTTGGCGATATAATCATATATGGGTAAGAGAGAAATTATAGTTACAATTAGCTTCAAGCTACACATGACAATTAATTAAGTCACTATTAATCACCACTGAGTGTTTGTAATAACTTCTGACTGCGATCCAATGCAGATTTTGGTCAAATGATGAGGCAGAAATATATCGTTAGTAACATTCTAGAAGAATCCTATGAGGAAGATACACAATTACAACTTCTGTGAGGCGTGAAGGAAAATGAATGTAACTAGTAGTGTAACTAATTACTGTTGCCAGAAAGTAATAAGTAAAGTAACAATATTACTTTGTAAAGGAGTAACTAGTAACGAGTAATAAATTACATTTTTGGAGTAACGAGCCCAACACTGTTTAAGATACTACTAGGGGCGCAAAATCAAAAACTATTATTATTTATTAGAAAAATATGTTAACTAATTAATCTTAAACGTTCCATTCATGCAGTCAAAGTCTATGGCCTGTAAATCCCCATCTTTATAACCTTTTACTAGTACCCCTTTGTCATGTTGTCAATGATCTGAAGGTCTCAGGCTGAAACTGAAGCCGCTTCTGCCGCCTAGTGGAGCAGACAGAAAACTGCACTTCCGTTTCTACCGTTACCATAAGTAACACTCACCACCAGAGGGCACCAATGTGTTATTCTATGTGCTTATAATGTATAGGTTCCATTAGTTAATGAACAATCCATTTATTACAGTATTTATTAATCTATTTGTCAATGTTAGTTAATGAAAATGCAGTTGTTCACTATCAGTTCTCTGGCCATAATTTATGTAACACCTAACTTTTTGATGCTACATAAAGATTGAGGGACCACAGAGACTGATTCATTTCAGTGAGCCATGTGTATTAAAGACATACTGTGAGCCACACATTCATATCAACAAGTCCAAACATTAGCATATAGAGTCTTCCAGAGTTGAGGAAACATCAATTAAGTCCATCAATTCATAGATATGACCATAAGTAGCATTTTGTCACAGTGAAATCAGTCTTTAAAGTGGAAAATATGAGACCAGCAGTCCTTAAATGAAGCAAGGAAGAATCTGAATCAGCAAACAATTCATCCGTTTGTTGATCACAGAATAAGATGGTTGGATGAAGACAATTAGCCCCTTTTTGTCTAGGTCCTGTTTATATCCGTGCTGTTTCCTCTCTCATACAAGAACCCTCTGCATTTAATCAGTTTTGGGCTAGTTACTCAAAGAATGTAATATCTTACTCATTACTAGTTACTCCTTTCAAAAGTAATATTGTTACTTTTTACTTTCTGGCAACAGTAGTTAGTTACACTAGTTGCATTACTTTTTCTTCACGCCCCACAGAAGTTGTAATTGTGTATCTTCCACATAAAATTCTTTTAGAATGTTACTAACAACATATTTCTGCCTTATCATTTGACCAAAATCTACATTGGATCGCAGTCAAAAGTTATTACAAACACTCAATAGTGACTAATAGTGACATTCAAGTAGAAGTGTTGTATTCATCTCAGCGTCATGTGTAGCTTGAAGCTAATTGTAATTTCTCCGTTACCCATATACGATTATATTTCATTATGTGTTTTATCAAATCACATAAGTTTGTAAGAAACTGTTTAAATTTTCCAAAAAGATTTTGAATTATAGGCTAATATAATGTACCAGATGCTGATCAGAGGGATGTAATGCCAGAGTAAAGTAAAGCCACAACTTACACAACAGTGTTCAGATCATCTTTTTTCCTGACAATATAAATATAATGCAATATTTCTATCTGCTGAATGTAAGCGTTTCCATATTCCAAGCTTGCCTGCTGCACTGGGGACATCACATGCATGCGCGAGTCGTGAAAATTATGAAAATAAATCTAGAAATTATTTGATTGTTGGATTTTAACAATACATGACATTTTGATGCTCTTTGATGTGGCATGACAGATCGCTGTACACTGTAAAAAATAGATGTAAAAAACGGGTGAAATTCATGGCAGCAGAAGGTGCTAAACATCTACCATTAAGTAAGGAATAATTGACGACGGGCCGTTGAATTATTAGAAAAATAATGCACACCCGAGGTGCATTATTTTTCTAATAATTCAACGGCCCGGAGTCAATTATTCCGCTTATACTACGGTTACCACACCTCA